TTTATCTCTTTCTGCCTTTGCCCGTGTCCCTGCTGTGCTGAATGATGCAGCTGAAATACAAAATAATATCTCTGAGAGATGTCGAGCAGAACTCTTCCAACTCAAGCACAACTCTCCAGGACCGGCTTATTTTTCTGCTTATCCTCATTATTTCTTGGCGTGCATAATATGCACTGCTAAGCAGTGATGCTCCCATCAGGTTGAGAGATACAGTTACAGTTTGTAAAGGTACTTGATTCTACTGTATGACACTCCTCGATATATAATGTTGGTGAAGTTGGTTTTTAAATTAATTTTACAAAAGCCAGAGAGGTAGAGTTTGAGTGACGATCCGCTGCCAGCACCGAGGGGAGAGACAGTTAAATATTGATCGTTAAATAGCAGTTAAATATTGATAACAAAAAACAAGGGCAGTGTTCAAAAGTTGATTCTAACTCGGATTCTTGAAAGTTTATTTTTTTACAGGCACACTCCTCAGATTTTACAGAAATGAGCTCGGATCAGGTTTGATCAGATTTTCTATCTGTTGAATTGACTTCCCTAATTTATTCTGAGGCACATTGAGGAAAATACTTTAAAAAATATATATTCTCAGAGCAGTATACGGCCCACATGCTTTCCTCAGAACACCCCGCTGTAATAAAAATGTAAGATGTTCATAGAAGAAGAAGCAGAGTTTTGAAAATGTGGTGTTTTTATGTGTAGGTTGCAAATTTGATCTGCTGCCATATTGGCTTATAAATAAACCAGCTTTTGGATTCTCACTACCACTGAAGAAGCTGCTCTGCATATTGACAGAAAGATAGCCTACAAGAATACACTGCTGTGTTGCTTAAATGATGCCAAGCATTTGTAATGCTTTAAATGTACAACGTAGGTTTCTCATACTATTTCTTTGTTAAATAGTAAACCATCTTCAATGTTAAAAAAAAATGTACTAAGAGGGATGTAAGTCGTTTCTATGACAACCTATTAAAATGAATCTGCTCCATTAAAACACCAGAAAAAAGCTGGTCAGAGGACATGGAGGTTTATCTGTGTGTGGGTTAAGTGGGTTTGTGTGTGTGTGTGTGTGTGTGTGCGTGTGTGTGTGTGTGTGTGTGTGTGTGTGTGTGTGTGCGTGCGTGGTGTGTGCGTGCGTGCGTGCGTGCGTGTGTGTGTGTGTGTGTGTGTGTGTGTGTGTGTGTGTGTGTGGGTGGGTGGGGGGGGTTAGTTAATCCTAAATCTTTTGATGTCTAGTTTTTGAGCATGTTTTGTTTTGGTTTCACTGCGAGGGACTTAAATATACTGTAAGATTTAGTCTCACTGCTATTATGAGGATTGTTTTTTTGGAAGAAGTTTTCAGTGAAAAACTCTAATAAAACCTCTAAACCTACCCAGCTAGTGGACAAAGTTGAGCATTTAACTATCATGTATTTGCACTACTTTGTGGAGGCCAAAAACACAAAACTCAAACTTTAACCAAGATCTTGCTCTTTGTTTGGTGGATGGATAAAAAGGCAGCTCTTTGCACAATAGTTCACCATATTTACTTTTAATCTAGATAAGCTTGTGTTAATGCTGATTTAAGATTTGAAATGCAAATAAGCAATCAAGGCATATTGCTAATAAACGTCTAATATAAGTAAGCAATTATTAATAAATATAACTTCTGGAATGTTCCTCCTTGAATCCTCTTCTTTCTGTGTTGCTGTGTCTCTTTTTACCACCCAGCCCACAGCCGGCTCATCCCATCTGACCTGTGAACCTCAGTGAGAACGATACCAGTCCCTGTGGGCCACCATAGCTGAAGATAACACACACACACACACACACACACACACTTTCTCTCTCTCACACACACACACTTTCTCTCTCACACACACACACACTTTCTCTCTCACACACACACACACACACACATACCAGGAAATCCTCAGCAGCATTTTATTTATTCAAGCCTCCTACTCCTTTCTCTGCAAAAGATAAGTAGAGCGAACAGGGGCTGTAGATGGAATTTTCTCCCCATATCACACCTCACACACACACACACTTGCACACACATGCACACATGCATACAGACATGAAAGCAATGCTGTTACTATTAACATCTGACCTTGCCCCAAAGCATTTCCTAACATGAATTTTAAACATGCGTCCTCTTTCCCTGGACATAAATGACCCTCTCAGATACCTTGCAAAATTATTCATCACATTGTCATATAACTTTCGCCTCAAGCCAAAATACGGAATGGGCTCCTTATGCCGGATTTTCCTGAGTATTGATCAAAACTGTCAAATTCTTCCGCTGCATGCTAGGCCTTGTTGGAATGAAAAATATCTCTGAACCAAAGTGCGGGACATTCATATACGCCAGTCAGAACAAACAAATCCAAAAGCACATATTCCAGCATGTGCGTATGTGGGTGGGGGGGGGGAAGGGGGTAGAATGCTAAAAACAACAGTTGCAGCTACACAAGGACTGCAGCGACAGGTTGGCATTAGCTGGGGTTTGACAGCAGCAAGAAAATACCATCTAATTGAAGGATGCTTGTCAGCCCTTGAGCCGTCAAACTTATGTCAGGAGAAAATTGCCAACCAGTCATTCTCAGGCTGCTCCTCTCCTGTCTCTTCCTACAGCTGCACACTGTCTGCAGATATACAGCCGGAAGCTGCTTATATACCTGGACACTGTATGTCTAAGTAAAGCATAACACGCTCCTGTGAGATGTCAATTAATGAAATTGGCTTAGCAGTGTTTCAATGACTTCTATTCCAGTATGGTGTTGTACCAAATCTAAATTTTTTCTTCTTCTTTCTGCTGGCTGGTTACTACTTTGGCTTTGATTAGCTAGCGTAGCATGACACTTCTAATCAGTCATGCACACCTGTTGCACATGGAAGCAGAAATTGATGTTAATGAAGAAGAATGGAAGAATGTATTCTCCATCCTACAGGAGTCACGACAATGGTGCATTGATGTGACAGCAGGACTGCAATGAACTGTGACTGTACATTCATGTTGGTATAAGTTCTCTCTGTATGTTTTGTCTCTGCACAAAATGTCTAACTAATTTTAATATATTTGCCATTTCTTCTTCATGTAATTAGTTTAACTTACATGCAGAAATTAAAGAATATTTTATATTTTACCCCAAGTCAGCAGGGACAGGCCTCACCAATTAAATATTTGGAGAATTATTTTAATAAAGCAAAAACAGTTGAGTCAGTTTTAACAGGTGACATTATTATGTGCCTCAGACAGTAAGTGTGCAATACAAATCCTCGAATATCTTTCTGCATGTAAACTTAAAGTATGTCGAAATAAAGGAAACAGTGACACTTAGTGGATGTCTTGTGTAAGTGAAGATAAATACAGAATAACCATGCTGGAGGAAGCTTATTGAGTGTTAAGCACTCCATTTAAGTCTTTTATTTAAACGTTTACTCAAATTTAGAAAATACATTTAAAGTGAATTTTCATAAAGACTCTTTATACTAATACATTGATTTGTTCCATTTTAAATACAATACTTAAATACCTTACTTAACCTTATAAAATAGTCATGAATTGATGACTAATGCCTAATACAACTATTATTAACCATCAGTTGGTCAAACTTTTGGCTGCCAGCTTGTGAATCATCCTGCAGCCAGAAACGTTTTCACTTGTGAACTTTTGCTTTTCACTTTTTGTTAAGTTCAGTTACAAATGTTTTCAAGTCATTAGTACATGTTGTCTCAATTTCTCAGACACGAGTGGAAGTTAGTAGGTGCCCTACAATCAAGTCTACATATTTAAATCTGTTAATAAATCACTGGTTTACTCCTTCTCCATGCAAAATGCTGTTGAACGGGTTGTCCTTGGGTCACCCCTCCAGCCCCACCCACACCCCAAGACAAAGTAATAAACTAGCTGTGAATATGTGTGCTACTTAAGTAACTAGGAGATGTGTATTGGACTCATCCGATGTACACAGTCACAACCGGTAATGAAGTGAATGTTCTTTGTCTGCTTGATAAATTCATCAGCGGCTCATAACTGATTCATTAACTTTGGGTAATTGTTTTGTTACTCATTGTCAGATGTATTTTTTAAAGCTTACAAACCTTAAAAACAGTGTATGTATTATAAAGTGCCATGGCTAGCGTAACACTGTGCATTGTACAAAATCAAAGTGTAAAGTAACTTCAGTTGGAAATACTCATGTTTTCAAGCTGCTCAGACTTCAAATTTCAATCGCTAACTGAATTTGTTGCTGTGCAAAAGTTGAATAATATATACTTGATGTCTTGTGTCTCTTTGCGCTATAAGCTCAGCTTTGTTGCCAGAAGTTAATGGCACTTGAGTCTCATTTACTGGTCCCATTAACAGGAACATTATCTATCACGATTACAAACCTATTACTGATGTCACCATTAGCCACGTTAATGTTAAGAGGAATGCAAAATGTCTCGCAATCCATCCTCATTGAAGTGCTTTTGCTTTATAATACAGGAGCCACACACAGATGTTTTATGTTTTTTTAATTAACTTACACTGGTAATATTGTATAAATGGCAACAGACATAAGCTGTGCAGAAGCACAGTTGGCTGCTGGATGGTTGCACACAGTTTGAGGTGTAGAATCCATACACAGAGGCAGATAATGATACAGTATGAGCTGTCAAACACACAATGTGAGCAGGTGTTTCAACCAACATGATGATCAGTGCATAGGGGTGCAGTCTCTGACAAATTGTAAATAGTTATTTGGCTCGGTCACATTTGGCCTTTAGTTACGGGGTTCAAGTTCCGGATGACTTGGTTCCATGACAAAACATTGAACACTGACAACCTCCAACCTGGAAGTTTTAAACTCCTTTATTGTACTGCCATCTTTTCTTCTCAGTTTGAGGAACATGATGTATCGTTAAAGCAACAGTTACAATAAATCTGGATGGTAAAGTTTGAATTGTTTGTTTGCCGTAAAGATCTGTCCAGATGTATCACCAGCTGCACAATTCAGTCTTGGCTTCTTTCATAGATGTGGATTAAAATAAGTTGGCTGGATGAAACCACTGGATATAAAGGGATGCAGGAGCCCTCCAGTGGATGAAAGTGGAACTGCACCGGCTGTGTGGAAGATCACATTCCCAGAACTGAAGTTGGGGAAAGTTTGATGATAGCTGGATGGGCTTGACACACATGTGGGCGGGTTTGGACTGAGGTTGACCAGAGGGTTGGATCCGCCGGGCTGCAAGGTGCTGTCCGCCCCGGGGTTCTGTTTTTTCCATTTGGTTCTCCTGTTCTGAAACCAAATTTTCACCTGCGTCTCGGTCAGACTCAGAGACAGCGCCAGGTTGAGTCTCTCGCACACGGACAGGTACCGAGTTGTGCGGAATTTGTTTTCCAGGGCAACAAGTTGCTCGTAGGTGAAGGCGGTTCTGGCGCGCCTGGGTTTGGCACAGGCCTGGTCCTGTCGCCGTCGTTTGTGTGGGGGAGGGTCCTGCAGGGTGACCACTGACTCCTCATCGTCCTGATCCCCCGGGAGACAGGACTCTGGTTCAGCTTGTGTTGAGAGCAGAAGGGGGTTGGTGACAACAGCATGATGCCTTGAGGCTGGAGAGGGTTCATCTCCTTGTTCTTCCCCTGTGAAGAAAAAAGAAGAATTAGGTCAGATCCAGCAAAACTCTTCAGCAAACCCAGCTCCAAAGGGAAATTTTAGGGAATCTCTAGGTTTGAATAAAATTAATGTTTCATTCGAGCACTGAATATTAAGTTGCTAAGACACTTATGAGCTATTTAGAGTGAGATTCAAAGCAACATCAACACGATCCTTCTTGGATCTCAAATTGTAAATGAAAAATGAACTGAATATCCAATAGACTGAAGTGTAAATACAGGCTACATAACAACTACTGTATACAATGGAAGAGGGAGCTTTTGACATTGATGTGTCTGTGTTTTCACTATTAAGCAAAAGGCCTCAAAAATCCTGACTGAGTTTCTGTGGTGCTGAAAAGACAGCTCCTGACAAGACAAGTCAATATCATCTCTCGAATCTGAAAGCGCACACCTGTCTAAGAAATGCATCTTCATTGTTCAGGGTTGTTTCTCTTTGTCCTGTTGTGGCTGCAGTTTAAATAGCAAACACAGGAGGCCTGAAGTTGACATCTGTAAAGTGTTTGATTAGGATCCTGAGGTCGCTCGAGCGGATCGGAGCATAGATTCAGAGCAGAGAGGGGAGACTCGGTCACTAATCCTTAAATAATTTATAAAGCACACAGCGCCTCAAATGTCATGTTGCGGAAAAGAAATCCCGTCTAAATCCAGCTCCGCCACCTCAGCCGTGACGTGCTAATGGAGTTTCATATTTGCGGGCGGGTCGATAAATGTCATCTATTTAAAGGGAAGTTTTAATCGAACGATATTTAGGATCAGACATGGATGGGGTGTGAAGTTTGTACCTGCAAGGTGCTGGAGGGAGATATGCAGGATGCAGTAATGGGATATCGATCAAAGCGCGCGGAGGCATCCTCAATGGGACGATTTAAACAATTATCTGGCCTGCCTGTCCCAGTGCCAATCACACACCGGGGCTCTGGGAGCACAAGCCTTTGTGGCTTTCTTGAAAGGAAACGCAGCCTTGGAAATTAAAGGAAGGTCATACAGAGATGACAATAACTATGATAGGAAATCGCGTCCTTCTTGCTGTTTTTTTTTTTTGTTTGTTTGTTTGTTTTTTCAACTAAAAGAAGAAAGTTGTATTTAATATTATAATAAATACTTTTACTCTTGATTCATGTTCTATTTTTACAACATTTTGATGTGGCAGCAGACTAGGATATATGGGTACACATTTGTTATTGACTCCCCATGTTTAAAAAAAAAAACATTGCAGGATATATCATACGTAAATGTTTCACCCATTGTCTGAATAATACACAAACATTGTCTGATTTCTTTACCTGCTTTCGTGCGCTCAGCTCTCAAGTCTCCGCCTGCTCCGCTGTTGTCCGACTCCACACTTGCTCCCTCTGTATTTTGCGCAGGAAACTTCTCCTCCACGAGGGAAAGTTCGTTTACGCGTTTGCTGTTGAATTTGTTCGGATCCAATATATCGATAATAGAAAAGGAAATCTTATGAGTGGACGTCATTGTCACTCCACAGTCCTTGGGGTCCAGCATCCTTTTTACAGAGCGTTAGAGATGAAACAGGGACGTGCGTAATTACGCGCGTGGAGAGGAACTTCTCATCGTTAAACCTACTTCTTGTTTTCAAGCCTCATCTCACCGGATAAGCGGTGCAGATCCCTCCGAGTGTAGACTCTGCTCCTCTGCTTCAGTCTGTTTTGTCGGCGTGAATGACATGACCAGCGCGCGCTCTTTAAATCGTCTGTCCGCCCCGTCTCTCAACCAGACACGTGACACAAACACTATTAGTGTTTCACACGACCACCTAATGGGCTCAACGCATTCGTCGATAATCACCCATATCATTAAATTCAATAATCCAACGAGCTGAAAGGAAATTGGGCACAGATGGCACTTGGTCTGTATCAGAGATCACCCTGTCTCCCCAAATCGGACTCTTTTAAAAGAGGTACAGTGAAGAGCTGCAGGAAAACTTTTTCTTTGTCTCAACCAAACTAACTTTGTGTTTAAACTAACGCCTTTTCATAAATGTTTGAATTCCAACTCATTATGGTGCATTAATCAGAAGAAAAAGTGCCTTTTGTAATAAATTGTTAAAATATGAACACATCTAAATTTGACTTTCTCTTTCACTAACGAAGGCAACAGTGATCATTGGGCCGATTTTAGCAATCGACAAATCTGATATTTACTTGTTTACTTAAATATTTAAGCGCACACATATTGTGATTACTTCAGGTATTTTTGATATGTAGTGTTTGATTAATCTTTAGACTTAGTGACAACTCAAACTTTCATCAAATAAAGACTAAACTGTTAATGCAACTCCTAGAATCACTCGTATTTATAGGACAGAGGACTCCATTCTTTGGAATTATTGTATATTCATAATTTCAGGCACCTTGTGTTATGATTTCACATGGTAGCAAAACACTGAAAACTGGCTTAAATTCCTAAAAGCATGTCAAGCAGCCTTTGTTTTACCTCCCTTTCCCCTGCAGGGATGAGCATGCACTTTAATGACAGAAAATACCCCTTGAATAAAACGCTTTGTGTTGTAGAAAATGGCTTATGCCCTATTTGCTTGTATTTGTATGTTAAGAATCTATACCAAATGACACACTCTAAAATAACACTAAATGAGAATGTGTGTTTAGTACAGACTCTAAGAATCCATTTAGAATCACTATTTCTCCTCTTTAAAGCTTTTAAAACTAAATTGCAGTCCTACAATGAACACGGCTGATTGTTTTCTCACCTAAGCTGATAGATTTATATTCACAATCAGTCGTCTCCCTGGTCTTGGCTATTAGTATTCAATATATAGTGACATGAGGTTGTTTAAAGCTTGATGCCGGCTGATGGCTAAAATGGTGAAACCAGCACCGGATCAATATTCTCAGCAGGTGTCCAATACAGATAAAACCTGATGGCTACAGACAGTCGGTTTGGATACTGGAAGGCCAAACCAGTAACTGAAGCAGCTCACGGGGGCTTCTTTGAGTTTCTTTTAAGCCTTCAGTCCTTGAATGACCTAAATGTTTCCTCTTAAAGTTACTCCTCCTGTTTTATTTCTTCAAATGAATCTTTTTACAGAATCAGAATTTGTGTTAAAAGCGGCATTTTCTCCTTCACCTTTGCTGAAGTATCTGTTTTTATGTTTTCTTCTTGTTCGCTCCATACGTTTTTTGCATTAACATATTTTCACATGTAAGCCTGTGAGGTCTGCATTGTGTGCAGATGAGACAGAAGGCACAAGGGCCGGACCTCTGTCTGTACTTCAGTCTGGTGTGAGTGACGTGGGGGGATCTGGTCATGTTTACACACTGTTTCCTCTCTACACAATTTCCTGTGTTACTCCTACAGTTCAGGGTGATTACTTGGCTACATGGAGGTTTCATTGCTGCCTCTGTCATAGTCTGGCAGACTGACATGGTCCACAGAAGTTACATAGTCAAACATTTGTTAAAGCCGCCCCTACAGGGTGTCTGCGTGTCGGCATTTGCATGTGTATAGCACTTGCACAGCCATTACTGTAGTCCCTCCATATGAATAGAGCCCGCTGCACACTGGAGGTTTACAACTTCCTACGAGAAGGCCCAGTGGCTGCACATCTGTTTGTGTGTGACAGGAGGACAAAAGGGACAAGCCCTGAGGACAAAGACGGCCTCAGGTGGATCTTAGAGAGCGGGAAGAGTCTGTACGGAACCAGAGCAAGGACTCGGAGAGGAGGAGAGTTCCCTGTTAGACACAGCAGGGGGGCCAGAGAGACACACTTCCATTCAAGACCCCCCTCCAGGGTCAATAAAGTCATCACTTCACGGGGAGGCTGCCCCCAGTCTGCTAAGCGTCAGATAATTTGTCTAATGGCAGGAGCAGCATTATGAGCTGCAGCGCCACTCAAAGACTGTAGTGTCTATTGTTTTCTCTAAAGTCCTCCACTGCCTCCCAAACGCTCCTGTAAAGACACACTCATACAAAAGAACAGCAAGTGTCCGGTGAACCATTAAGTGAGGCCGTTAGATCCTCTGTGACAGATTCCTCAACTGTTTAGTTCACTTGGTTTCTAAGATACAGAATAACTAAGTCACAAAGCAGCAGCAGTGAAACAGTCTGAAAATTTGACCCGTAGGATTTGTGTACAAACATGAGCTCTCCATTTTTTGTTCCTGGAAGTTGCACGAATCCTTCAGGGTGTTTTTTCAGAGGTTCTCCCTTTCTCACATTAGACCATTTTTTGTCTTCCGTGAACCAGAAGTCAACTTTGAAACATTATTTTGGCTCAAACTAGATTGTTTCCCCACAAACTGAACCAGGAGTTTTCCTGTTACGTTTTCTTTTCACAACTTTAACTTCACATAAGCACTTCTGAAAATGTCGAGAGAATTTCAGGAGTACCAGAAAATATATATTTATTTAGAGATCCCATGCATACAGTTTATGACTAAACTCATTGTTTAGGTTTAGAGAAAGATCAGGGTTTAGTTGAAATAAGCTACTGTAAAGTGAAGTCAAGCTCTGTTTAAAGTGGTTATTGCTGATTTTAAAAAGTCTACTTTGACTTATGTTGTCACACAGGACACGGGTACTGGACACCTGGTTTCTGTCTGCCTTTATGGTTTGACTTTCAGAAGGAAAACTTGATGCAGGCATGGAATAAACTCTTAAACTACTACCTACCTTATGACTAGTTTACACATTTGTGAACTTCGTTTTACAGATACATCTAGATCGCTGAAGAACACACTGATGGTTCTCCTGTTTTAGCCCATTTCTGTTTGTTGGTTCATAATAGAACTGGATTCCTGTTTCTGACACCTCACCCTCCATGTTTTTATTGTAGTAGTTTTTTACTCTTTATAATCTGCCGTTGATTAGGATGTTGCGCATGATTGACAGCTGATTTGCGATTCCTGAGCATTTCACTTGTAACTAATCAATGTTCTTGACCAAAACAGAGACCACTAAATGAAGTTAATATGATTCCTACAAAGTTTTGGTCCCTGGTTGATTTTCTGTGTTGATATGTAATCAACCGTTTTAAACTACAGTTTACATTTGTTTCTCAGAATTTGTCAGCAGTAACACGTATGAAATTTGTCCTCAATGGTTTCATCACCTCCAGTTTAGACATCTGTATGCTGTGTTTAACAAGTAAGGCTATTCTTTTTGTATACTAAGCAGAACTATATGCCTTCTAATTTTGCGCTCAGATGCAGTTTGAATTGATGTTTGCTGGTTTAGATTAATACAAACGATCTTACTTCAAGATTCCTCGTTTTGCCAAGACTCCAGGACGTGGGTTCAGCTTCCAGGCCGCTTTTCAGTCAGACCTCTGTGTTTGTTTGACTCTCTCTAACAACAAGGTCAGTGGCATTGCCCAGTAATTGTCCTAACGGCCTGTATACCTGTTGGGTGGAGGCGAGTAATGAGAGTTTTTCATTATGGGCGGGACGGGTGAGTGCGCCTGGCAGATGCTGACAGGCAGCAGATGTGTAAAGTTGGGGGGTGATTTGTAAAGGGGTCAACTGCAGCACAGAGGAGATGCGGGGCGATGTGGTGCGGATGTGGGGGGAGTAACCAGGGGGGTAAATTATGCTGAGGGACGTTGTCTGTCATACTGAGCCCCTGTCACAACAAGGTAAAGGTCAGTTCATACGTTGATGTCGTCAACTCACAGCAAAGTGTGGTCATGTCTGCAAACTTTCTACCACCGTTCTGACCAGGGATGTTTCACTTAGAGGTTGTTGAATTCTTAAAGCCTTTGTTTTGCAATTTCTGCGTATAATAATCCTCTTTTTAGCATGATGAACATGTTAAAAACTTTAACGTTCAATTTTATTTATACATTAAAAGTAAAAGCAAGTTACTTTTGCAGCCCCTGTGGACAAAACAGCACATCCTATCTCTGTGTGATCCTTTCCTTTACATGCATGTATACAATTATCTGGCTAAAAACATCCTCCTACTCTCTCTCTCTAATGTATTATTCACTGTGTAATCGTGACACATGAAATATAAAGACAATTGATTTGACGGACCACAACATGGACAACAAAAGTCTTGATCCCCGGTTGTGGGTGACGGAGCAAGAATCAGAAATCGTAAATTTCCTTCTAAAAGGCCCTCTCTTTTGAATGTATACCAGCACAGATCAATGATTCAAAGCAGGTCAAACCATAAATAGTAATAGTTCAGATCACTCTTTCCTATACAGTCACGTGACGCAGCATCATTTTGTCTTCCAGGAGAAGCAAGCTAAGCTACCTTGGCCAAACACCCTGGTTAAGCCTTCCAGATTTACAATCTGTAATTTCAGCTACACAGACGTCTTGGCTGGCTTTTTCCTCTCCACACAAAACTGCAAAGCAGCCAGAGTGTTGTGGTGTCTTAAGGAGAGTGTACAAATTGGTAAACACCAAGAGAAAACAGACTGAAGTGCTGTAGATTTCCATTTTCTGCAGCCACGAGGCCTGCTGGTAATGGCTCGGTGGTCCCTGGCATGTGCACGGAGCGCACTGTCACTCAACGTG